AACGTCGCGCGGTATTTCGGGAAGAAAAGGGAAGAAGACGGTCACACGCACCAGTGGACGGTTTATGTCAAGCCCTACAGAAACGAGGTGGGTTTGCAGGGGCGGGAGCGGGTCCCGTCCTGGGCCGGGGCCGCGGAGCCGGCGGGAAGTGCCGCTGCCGGTCCTGCCCTGCCCGGGCCCGCCGGGCTCTGCAGAGCTGGGGTGCCCCTCAGCTGGGGCAGAGGCTGGTGGCTTTCCAAAAAGGAAGAGGAAAGGGAAGGCATTTTTCCTCCTTTTGGAGTGATCTCCTAGGCTGGAAAATGGGAACGAGATGATGTGCAGCAGCACCGGTGCTTGGATTTACTGTCTTGCCTTCCTACTGTTTTTAAAGGCAGCTGTGTCAGAAGGAATGATAGACAGGGGCGTGGATGAATAAGCAGTAGTTTGGTGTGCTGTGTAAGTAATCAGGAATAACCATGTTTCTATTTTAGGATATGTCTGCCTATGTGAAAAAAATCCAGTTCAAGTTGCATGAAAGCTACGGGAATCCCTTGAGAGGTGGGTTTTGTGCTTGGGAGTTTGTTCCTAGAACTGGGATTTTAATTCGTTCCACCAAAGCTTTATCACCTCTATTAACACTTATCTGTTTCCCACTGCAGTTGTTACCAAACCACCGTATGAAATCACTGAAACAGGATGGGGTGAATTTGAAATAATCATTAAGATATTTTTTATCGACCCAAATGAAAGACCCGTAAGTACATAGAACCTTTAACAACACTTAATTAATTATGCTGGCTTCCAGCTGTGCTGTAAGGTATTGCTGGTCAAAACAAGTCCCTTCAGCCAATGGAAAAACCTGTTACTGTAGGAGATGTATTTAATGGTTGGCCATGTTTTCCTGTTTCTGTGCTTCGCTTCTGGAATTCTTGCTGGCTTTTCCTGCACTTGGCTCCTCCTGTCTCTGAGATTCACTAATACATGTCCACAGCTGACAACTTGTCTTCCATGTTGCTTTCTACTTCTAGGATATTTGAATATTTTAATTCCCTTTTTTTTTGTCTATTAGATTTGGTCAAAATTAGTCAAAAAACAGCAAAGGTACTACTTTAGCACTAGTCCCTTTCTGAGAAAAAACAGGTTAAGACACTTCTCTAGTTGTATAAGGCATTGGAATGAATTAATTTCTTCCCATCTTGTGTGAAACATATCTTGCAGGTTTGTTTTTCCAGGCTCAGGTAGAAATCTCAATTACCGTCTTTTAGCCAAATGTGACCTTTCTGAAAGGACTGAGTTCTCTCTAATGGATGAACTAAGCAGTCCTTTTGCTTTAGCTGTCGTGTTTTTTTTGCCAAATGAGGGGAATTTTACGATTTTCTTAAATGTAGGAGAATTCATACTACACTAGAAAGGACTTCCTGCACTGTTGTGCGTCCTGATTTGTCATATTCATTCCATTCACAGCTCGACTAAGCTGTCGTAACATTAGTTGGGTGTTTTTTAGTTTGTGGCTGTTCTTGGAAGGCTGTTTTGGTGCCTGCTGTGCTCTTCCTCTCCAGGAAGTACCAGCCTGTCTCCCACACCTGCTCACGGGCCTTTTTGTGGAAGGGAAGGACTGTGGTCTGTGTGCTCTCTTCCCAAGTCGTGGTCCAAGCAGTCAGTGCTTCCTCAGGGCTGGCCAGAAGGCCTCTGTTTCTCTCCAGCTCTTGCCATTTGCAGTAAGAGAAGAGTGGCTCCACAGAGAGGAATTCCAGTGAAAGGCTATTTTACAGGTCTTCTTGGTGCTTTTCCTACACCAAAAGGGACAAGAAGGTTGCAGAAAGTGCTTTCTAACACGTTAATTAGGAAAGTCAGTTTGAACTAAATAATCTATTTGGAAATGTTTATGAGGAGGTCATCTTAGTAGGTTTTATACACCAGTTCTAAACTACTTGCCCAGACACTTAAAATATCAAGAAGACTTTGAATAGTTGGCGTGTTTAATAATCACTATTAGATTTAAGTAATTCTGCTGAAGCTATGTGATGTTTATTTTTGTATTTGTAAAATACTTTTAATAATATTTTAATAATATTTTAAAATCCTGTACATTTGTCTTAAGAAGCACAAATACTGAAGACGATTTTCATTTCCCTGAAACTTTTGAGCTAATGAAATTCTGTCTTTGTGCAGGTAACCTTGTATCACTTGCTGAAGCTTTTTCAATCTGATACCAATGCCATCCTGGGAAAGAAAACTGTAGTTTCTGAATTCTATGATGAAATGGTATGAACATTTTTTAATGTAATTGAAACTTTATTTTGAAGAGTATTAGTGATACTGTGTGTTTTTCTCCTTTGTTAGATATTTCAAGATCCTACTGCAATGATGCAGCAGCTGTTAACAACGTCTCGTCAGCTGACGCTAGGTGCTTATAAGCATGAAACAGAGTGTAAGTTGAAAATGAAAATACTGTAATTTTAGAAATTAACATTAGTCGGTTTTGCTTTTACTGTTTTTTTCTGCCCTGTAACAGTACAATAGATTGGGAAGCTGCTAAAAAGTGGTACTTTTTACGTTAAATTAGCTTCAGCTATTGCAGAGATTAATACTCAAAAACTTTAAAGGCTTTCTGATCTGTATGCCTGCTGAAATGGAAAGCATTGCAGATAAGTCAGGATGAAAAGTGGTGACATGATCAAAACCTGTTTTAACTCATTTCAAATACATTAAACTAGGGAATAATTTAAGGCCACTGTATTTGTGGTTTCATTTTATTCAGCTCATTGGGATGTTAATGGCAAGCAAAGATCACATTTCAGCACTGAAATACAGAATAGTACTTGTAGTCAAAGCAGCAACCCTTTTGGGATAATGAGTAGTGTCTGAAAGCTCTTCCTGTCTTTTTCCCTTATTTCTAATTATTCAAGTGTAAGCTATTTCCTTACATATTTTTTCAGTATGGCTTCATATTCTTTGTGTCCTTAGGTAATCTGTCTTTAAATAAAACCCAGACAATTAAGGGAATTAAGCAAATAAAAGGAGAAGATGCAGATTCATAAAATATAATTAATTTAGTGATTATTTATGTTTTGATCTTCTGAATTTCATCTCTTGCTGTCTGCTCTCAGAAGGCTAATGTAATATTTATTGAACTTAAATCCTGCCTCGTTAGTTACAAACTCCAGTCCCATCATAGCCCAGCTCACCGGGCCTTTGGCTTATCTACATGTTCCCTTGATAACAAATGTCAGGTACTTTTAGACACTGTATCCTTGAGTTAAAGAGTAGTTATGAGTTTGAAGCTCTAGAATGTTAGGGTTCCCACTTGCCTTAGATTTCTTTAGGTGTGTGGACTTGTGAACTACTTTTATTTTCTCTCTGTTTAGCTGGTCTTGAGATGGATTTTTGTTATATTGCACATTATGGTTTATGTGTAGGAAGTGTTTAATAATTGGAATAATAAAAAAATCTTGTCTAAATTTAAATGTTTCTCACTTAAAACTCCTGGATGTTGCTCCTGGGTGCAGATAGAAATTTGTAGTGTTTTTTAAAAAATATATATTTCCTTAAAATGTGCTAGTGAAGCAGATGAAAATTAAGATGTTGGGGTTTTTTTTGCCACTACCCACAGTTGTGTAATGTACAGGATATGAAGGGACATCCATGGCCTCCATGGATTTGTTGGCTTTACTGTCTTTGTCCAAAAAACTGGTGCACTAGCATATTAAAAAAATAGTAATTAGGACATCTCAATAAACGAGATTGAGATATCCTAATGTCAGATATTCCTAAAAGCAAAGGCAGCATTACTCAATCTTTTAGACACATGGAATTAAACTCCAGTGAGATGGAAAGTAGAAAGTGGCAAGAGTGCATGAAAAAGGAATCACAGAACGGTTTAAGTGTGAAGGCATCTCTGGAGGTCATCTTGCCCCACCCCCTGCCCAAGCAGGGCCACCTAGACCAGGTTGGTCAGGACAAACTCCACACAGCTTCTGAATGTCTCTAAGGAGGGAGACTCCACAACCTCCCTGGGCAACCTTTGGCAGTGTTTGGTCACTCTCACAGGAAAAGTGTTTCCTGGTGTTTGGAAGGAACCTCCCATGTTTCAGTTGGTGCCCATGGCACACGTGGTGTCTCTGGGCATATACTTTACTTGTAGTCCTCTGTAATCTCCCATTTATTTGCTGTCACTGTGTCAGGATTTTTCCCCCACTTAATCTTTAAAAGAACTCTGGGAAATTATTTGGAGAATTATGCAACTCCATCCATAAAACTGATGGGCTGAATGTTTTGGTTTTTCCCTGTTTTTTGTTTGGATACCATTTTGACTATAATCATTGAATATCTAAGGCTAAGAGTAATAGATTTTTTCAGGACACACACCCTCCAAGTTAGTGTTGCAATTAAAAAAAAATAACTAAAGCATTACAACTTTTCATAGTATTTAGAGTATCTCTTTCTTTATCACCACCATAGTTGCAGATCTTGAAGTGAAAACCAGGGAAAAGCTGGAAGCTGCCAAAAAGAAAACTAGTTTTGAAATTGCTGAGCTTAAAGAAAGACTAAAAGCAAGTCGTGAAACCATCAACTGTTTAAAGAGTGAAATCAGAAAACTTGAAGAAGATGATCAGTCTAAAGATATGTGATGAGTATTGACTTGACAGAGAGCCAATACTGAAGACAGAAGGATTTCCATCATGGAACTGTATTTCTTCTCTTCCGTTCTGTAACAGAGACTGTGAGAAAGCCAGTGGCAAGTGATTGAAGAACGTGGCAATTGACTTCATAAATGGAAGAAAAAAGAATGTATCCTTGTTTCATAGTAAAAATGAATGGGTACTTAACAATTTATTTCAAGGAGAAAAGGGTCTTGAAGACCAGGCTATTTTTTTTTAACTGCATTTGAGAGGTATATGAAACCTTTGTAGTAAGTCTTGTATTAGTTCAATGTGATTTTACAAAATGCTGGTGGTTCCTTTTTTACTTGTTTTTTCTACTGTTGTTTAGAGATGCATCTTTAAAGCTCAGAATAAAAAAAAAATGCAGTTTTTTATTTTAAGATGTTTTGTCTCTGTCCAGTTGTGGGCGTCGAGAAGAACTGTAGATGGCACACCCTGATACAAGGCAGAGGTTGAAATACAGTGGTAGGGAAGGTGCCTAAGTCTGGTTCCAGTGATTGCTGCCTGCTTGGCTGGGATCAGCACAGGGAAAAAACTTTCTGAAAATAGGATTTTAAATCCCTTTTATATCTGCAGCCAAGAGTTTCTGGCCCCACATCTGCTTTGACAGATATAAATGCATCAGTTATACAATTAATTATGCTCAGAAGCAGGAAATTATTCCAGCCCTGCTTTGTAGAAGTTTGTTGAATAGTTGTACTATACTGTGGTCGGTTCATCACACATTGTTTCTGTTGCTCATTCCTTCTCAAACTTCTCCAGAGTTGGTCCCTCCCATGGGGTGCAGTCCTTCAGGAACAGACTGCTCCAGCATGGGTCCCTGACAGGGTCACAAGACCACACTGGCAAACCTGCTCCAGTGTGGGCTCCTCTTTCCGTGGGTCCATGGGGCCACAGGTCCTGCCAGGAGTCTGCTCCAGCACAGGCTTCCCATGAGATCACAGCCTTCCTCAGGCAGCCACCTATTCCAGCGTGGGGTCCTCTACAGGTAGATTATCTGCTCCACCGTAGACCTCTGTGGGCTGCAGGGGCACATCCTGCCTCACCATGGTTTTCTCCATGGGCTGCAGGGGAATCTCTGCTCCAGTGTCTGCACTACCTCCTTCCTCTCCTTCTGCATTGACCCTGGTGACTGCAGTGATGTTTGTCTCACATACTCTCACTCCTCTCTTTAGCTGCTGTTGCTCAGGTTTGTTCACCCCTACTTAAATCCCAGAGGTGCTACCACTGTCACTGATGGGCTTGGCCTGGGCCAGTGATGGGTCTGTCTTGGAGCCAGCTGGCATTGGGTCTGTTGGACATGGGGGAAGCTTCCAGCAGCTTCTCACAGAAGCCACCCCTCTGGCTCCTTAACTACCACAACCTTGCAAACCATGCAAACATTCCCCTTGAAAAATCTGTCAATGACCTTTTCCCTGTACCATCTCATTTTCAAATTTTCTTTTGTAGAAGTAAAAAAGCCTGAGAGAGATGGTGCTACTTCAGATTCTGAAAAGGCTTCGGCATCCTTCCTACTGCTCCAAGATCCTGTGTTGCAGTAAATATTCTGCTACAGAATTAAACATCCCACATCCCCTCTCCCATAGAAAACAACATTATCAGTGCTTTGAGAAGAAAACAGTCATTTCTTCATATTTGAAATAATTGATGATTGGCTTTTACCATGGCTTGAGAGAGATTTAGAGCTGAAACAGCTTTCCTCTGAAAGAGACTCAGCCAAATACTGAGATCAGCCAGATAGACACTTGCCACTATTTCTGTAAATACAGAGTAAGAAACGTTAGAAAGAAGGACATCTTAAGAAACGCTGAGAACTGCAGACAGTCTGTCCAAGGGATTCCAGCAAAGGCAAAGGGAACAGGCACCTTTCAGTCAGTTACAAACAGTTCCCTCCATCATGACTCAGATTGGAGACAGCTTTCTTTGCAGCTGTCTGGGATGCCTGCTGTCATCTCCTGAGGGCATTTTGATAATCCTGTACGTATTAATGGGTTTGGTTGCCATATACATCAGGGTATCTGTGCTACAGAGCAGAGAATGGGGCACAACTTGGCGTGGCAGCTCCATGTAGAGCACTCGGAGCTGTGTGCACAGCAGTGCCATGGCCTCCAAGTTAGGAACTCTGGACCAAATGCTGAGCTGCAGCTCTCAATTAAGCAGACATGCAGGAAAAGGAATGGCAGGGAGATGGTAAGAAAGACCACAGTAAGGTCTCTACATCTGATGTTTCTCCCTTTTGGGTGCCTAGGGATTGTTTTTTCCAAAAGGTTTGGGAATATTTTTTTTTCTAAGTCCCCTTGGTTTTGCCATAGTGCAGAGCTTGGAGCAGTCAGGAATGTAACTATTAGGGCAGTGATTGCCATGGGTATCAAGTGAGGTTTTGCCCATGAAGAAAAGATGGCATTATCTCTGAAAACCTTCAGATGCCAGCTGGGAGAGTTGCACCTGAATTTCCACGCTCTGCTGACTCCTGCACAATCACTGCAGATCAGCCCTGCAATTTCTTTCCCCTGCTGTGGCTGGTGCTTGTGTTCTTCCTTCTGAAAGGAGCTTGATCCCAGCAGACATAACTCAGGGATCCTGGGTCAAGAGGATAGAGGTTCCTGAAGTGTTTGGAGCTTTGGGAAAAGCTGGTTTCCAAACTCCAGTTAGGACTGACAGAAAGGCGTGTCTTTCCATCAGTCCACAGAGAGCTGAGCTGCAGGAGAATAAACAATAATTTCAGATGTAGCTGATCTGCAGTTGTTAATTTAATGGAAACTGCAAGCTAGTCATGTTGGAGCAAGAATTGGAAGAAAGGGTGTTCTGCTCTGTGCTTCAGACAAGAGCTAGCACTGACCAAAGAGCAGCAGTGGGGGCTCCCTTCATGTACCGAGCAAGTTGGTTCAGTCAGCATTTCTCTGCCAAGAACGAAGAGTTGTAAGTAAAAATGTGGTGGAGTAATTCCATGCTCCTGCCCACTGCCCTTCTGCATTTTCTTAAGAATTGATTTGCTCTTCTGATCTTAACAGGCATATAAGAGATGTAGCTGTATTCCAAGAGCAGGCCAATATTCTTCTGGAGTTCTTTCAAACTTTTTTAAGGTGCAGTTCTTAATTCTTGTGTAAGACAAAGAATGTGCCAGCACTGGCATTATCCACCTTCTTGACACACACTCAGAAGTGTCAAGTAAGTTGTGTGAAAAACAAATTTGCCCCCTTTGAAGCCAGTGTGTCATAGCTCATCTGGGGAATCCAAGTAGAAAAAAAAATCTGCACCTACAAGGAAAGAGTCAAAAACAGCTGATGAAACCATGAGGGCAGGAACAGGTGTGACTTTGTCCCCCGTTCTTTAGGAAGTCCAATGAAAAAGGGGTAGTTCCTGGCACAGGAGAGAGAGCCCTTACTAGCAGCAACAGAGGCATTGCTTGGCCCCTTCTCAGCACGTATGATGCCCTCAGAGTAGTGCAAGTGGACAGAGATGTGCAGGGCCCCCTTAACAGGCAGGAGGGCCCAGCAGGAAGATCCTAGGGAGCTGGGATGTGCTCTGTTCCAAAACCTGAGCAGCAGCATCCCTCACTGTCCCTTGCTAGAAACCCAGGGTTGTTGGCAAAACATGCTGTTTTTTGATTGTTTAGTTGTTTTTTCCTTCCCTCCATTATCTCAGGTGCAATGTGAGCTTTTTCACAAGTGCCAATATCTCTGTGTCTATAGCTCCTTGGAACAACTCCTTGCTGTGTCTTTGGGATCCAGGCAAGACCAGCCAGTGCTAGGATTGACAGCTGAAATTAAGAGAACAGTAGGACTTGACCTCTTTGTGTGGGTAGTGGGTCAGAGTGCAAAAGGGGGAGTCTTGTGACTTTGCCAGAGTGTCTGTCCAGCCCTGAGCTGAGCAGAGCTTCAACAAGTGCACAGTGAAAACTGCCAAGGCTGCAGCAGTATGTCACTCCAGGCGTACACATTCTCCCTAGGGCAGGTGCACACTTCTGGCCTGGGGCCCTCTCCTTGCACTTCAGAAATATTTCCATACTCAGAGCAGTGTTCAGAGCTTTGAAAGCAGGACAGCCAAAAACCAGTGTCCCTGATACAAAAAAATAACATTTGTTGATCTACACTATTTTAATAATGGTAACATTTTGTAAACTGCATCTAAACCTAAATCATTGCTGCACTGTGTCAGACACTTTTATTATCATTACAGCTTTGCTTGGAATTTTGTTCAAAAAAAGCCCACCACCAAATAAATCAACTCAGTTACTTCAGTCCTTTCTGATCTCTTTTCTACTCCATACACCTATCTGTTTTTTCAGGACTGACTGTGGTTTACTTCACTTGGCCTAGAATTGCATCCAAACTAACTTCAGTAAAGACACTTTGTGAAGCAGAACTGGATTCGAAGTAACATTCTCATGATCAAAGTTCCTAAGAAGCTTTTGTGGTAATTGGAGAATAACAACTATAGAAAATGTTTTTGCTCTCATATTTAAATTAAGCATAAAGATAAAATGCATGAGAGGCTTATTAAATGAAAATACAGAAACTGCATCTGATAAGATCAAAGCAATTGAGTGGGATTTTAATTTAGGCATTTGACTGACTTCGTCTAAAAGAAAGAAGTTTTTGAAGTAATGCTGGCCTTGTTCCATAATATCTGAGAGGTTCACTCAGTTGTGGATTGCTCCACTGGGCTATTCCCTCCACTGCTGATATATTATTATTTATATCATATCCTGAGAATATTGTACATGCAAAATGCGCAGGCAGAGTTCCAAGCCTGAAGGCTTCAATCTAAATGGGAAATATAGGATGGGTGGTATAATAAATTGAAGTTCTTTACTTGAACTGTAAGCAATTTCTTTCAGCTCTACAATTATACCCTTCAACCACTTTGAAGTGAAGAAGCATTCATTACAGTTCTCATACTGTGGTAACAGAACTTGGTCTGACTCTGGTGGGTAAGTGAAGCAGCTGCTGTCTGTGTGTTTCACC